TTAATTCATACAAGTTGAGAAGGTAATTTTGTTTTTTCTATGAATAAACAAATAAATATTAAAAAAATTAATACTTTCCATTTTGTTTTACTTTTTGTAATCACAGTTCAATGCCATAATTTTAAAGTATGAAGATTGAAAAAGTAATTTTGATTATAAACAAAATTAAATTTGGCTCTGAATTTTGATTTTTTTAATATTTTTTACACAGCATTTATTACAATTAAAAGGTTCATCTGCCAATAAGTTTAATATAGTTTAGTTAATTGTGTGATTGTTGGTACTTATTAGATTAAGACAATAGGAATATGTGGCCAAATGCACGGTGTAATGCTTTGGAACAACGAGGGCGAAGGTGCCTGGGAAAGAATTGAAAGAGATGGGACATTGACACGCTATGACGTAGTTCAAGACAAAGTATCAGCACTATACACTTGGCAAGATAATAGGTGTGACTCGGATTTTTTGAGTTCTCTTCCCAAATCAAATTCACACTTTCCTCTGTGTTCCGGTTATGGTACTGCAACGTTATTCTGGATGGCAAAGCATAAGTAAGAAAAAAAAATTAATAACTATTTTTAACACAAAAAAATGTTCTTTATTTAATATAATATAAATTGTTATAATTTTAAGACTAGATAAATTAAATATAATGCATTTAATCAAAAAACTATACTGTAGTTAGTGCCAGTATATTTTCTAAAACTTCATATTTCATTATTCCAGTACACATTTGATAATATATGTAATTGTTGTTAAATATGTTGTAATTAGAATAGAAAAGGAATGATAAAAACTGAAAATTATGCAACTAGCATTTCTAACTTGTTAGATTAGTAAATAATTTGACTTACCACCTCGTGCTCGATTTCTGGTGCCACCCCTCGGACTTCTGGAAGTGTTAAATTTATTTTGAGTCAAACGGCCTCCTCTTGCTATGGCTGGTATTTCTGAAGTAGTAAGTTGTATGTTCATTGCACGTCCGTCTAAAGGTACTCCATTATATTGTTTCATTGCTTTAATAGCATCTGCACGTCTTTCAAAAATAACATCCGCAGTACCGAGGGATCTACCTGACCTGTCATAATGAACAGCGGCACTTTTTAGGGGGCCGAATTCGGCAAACAATTCTTGAATATCAGTGTCAGAAACACCAAAATCTAAATTAGACACCATCAACTTTGTTGGACCTGCATTTGATTGAACAATAGCTCTAGCGGTAGCAGCTTTACGAGGGCCATAACCCTCAAATAGATCGTGCTTCCAAGCACTATTTATGTCTCCCTAAAGAAATAAGTGGACCTTGTCAAAACCATTTCCAGGTCGAACTGACATTTTTAATTGCAGAAGTCAGTAAAATTCTTTCACAGCACGCATTTTTTAGATATTAAATTGCATAGGTACATTGAACAAATACTAAGTAGATCTTTTCAAATACCATCCATAAGCGGACATTTTTTTATGGAATTCGGCAAAATGGATCACATCATATCCTGCTGGTCCGCCATGAAAAATAACTCTAATTGATATTTAAAAGTATAATTAAATTACCCTCGTGTATGGTCTTGCAATTCCGCCGCGATTGCGGCCTCGTTGCACGCCTCCACTTCTTCTAAAATTTCCCCGTCGTGGACCTCCACCTATGGAGGAGCGTTGACTACCCCTGCCGCCTCTTTTACCGGCACCACCGCCCCGTCTGCCGGATCTATTAGATTTTATAATGTCGTCTAAACTCATATCAATTTTGTCAACCATTTTCATAGTCTTTTCACTATCAAGTTTTAATAATAACCGAGTTACAAACGAGAGTTAATAAAAATGGCGTAACAACACGAAAAATGGTTCAACGAGAGACCGCTTATTTTCTGATCTACAACTCTACAATATTGGCGGGAATGCGCTTGCGCATATTATTGTTCGGAGACGTTCCATAAAATTCATACCAAAAAGTTCACTTCATTTTAAAATTTAACACATACACACACAACTTTAAAATAATTATACAATAACTTTAAACAGTTTAAACAAGTTTTATTCAAAAATACATATTCAACAATAAATTAATATTGAAATAAAATGAAAATAGATTAAAGAATATTCTTCAATAAAAGAATTATTTAAGAAATATACATAAGAAGTAGAATAAATATAATAGAATGCTTTTAGCAAATATTTCAAAACTACTTCAAAAGATTACATTTCCAATTTCTAATAATATAATAACATCGTGAATATAATATGAGCATTACCTAAAACAGATAGTGACACCCTATATTGTACAAAAGAGATAAGTTTAAGTTTAAGTAAGTGATAATCATATATTATGGTAATACAACAGAAATATAGCAAAAATGTAGGTTAAATAGCTGATTACCGGATTACATATTACTGTTTTATTGTTTCTGGTTATTTCTTCACGTTTTAGTTTTATTTTGATTAATCTTATTTATAGTTGATTCAATTTGTACCCGTCACAGTGGCCGTTATGCTTATATTTTTCGATTTTTTTTAAATACTTATTTTTAATAATTACATCATCAACGAGGCTTCTGATGGTAGATTTAGAAAATGATGTAATTTACGTTAAATAAGCCGCAATTTGTTTTAATAAATTTTATTCAATTCCAAAGTACCCATAAATTATAAAAGAATTTTAAAGAAAGGTGCTAATATAATAGAAAAATAAAAGTTAAAATACATCCCTGTAGGTACATTTTTATTCATTACTTCTAAATCAATTGGTTTTATCTTATCTAAAAAGCTTTCGATAGGAACAAATATTAATACATAATAATAACATAATAACGTATGTTGATATTTGTTAAAATTGATTCAGAAGCTTTTTAATAAATGTCATCCTAATGCCAGTCTATAAAGCAAAGCAGAACATGGAACAACATGATAACCATCAATAACTAAACAAAAATTTACCCAAATTAGTAGCGGTATCTTCTTGAGCGGTACGTAAACAGTTATTGAAGTATAATATATTAAAGTATATAAATATTATTACGGAGTCCTTCAATTTGAAGATGATTTATTTTTGAAACATGGAATTTTATGTTTATAGTAAAGATAAATGCTTCATAGCTATAGGTGGTATTACAAACTGGGCCAAACCCGCATAACAGTCTCAGTTGTAGCACGAAATACAGCAGCTTTCCCTAAATAATTATTGTTAAAAACAATGTCTTTAAATTTCAGAAAAAAAATGCCTGCAGAACATCTTATACTAGGAATAGATTTAGGAACAACTTCTGTAAAAGTTCTTGTTGTAAATGGAGAAACCCAGCAAATCATTGCTAAACAATCCAAAGAAACACAGTCTAATGTGCCTAGTGATCAAGGAACTGATGGAAATAAGCAAGATGTGCCTAAAATAATTTCTGCCTTGAATACTTGTGTTGCAAAACTTTCAAAAGATTTACTTTCTCAGGTAAGAATTTGTAAATTGCAATGTTTTTGAATTTCTCATAGAGTTTTTGTTTATTTTTCATTTTTTAAATTTTCAATCAAATTGAATTCTTTGAACATTTTCTGATGATAAATAAGTAAAAATGAACAAGTAGATGGGAATAAATTTTTTTTTCTTTAATTTACAATTTCATACAATTACATTAATTCATACAAGTTGAGAAGGTAATTTTGTTTTTTCTATGAATAAACAAATAAATATTAAAAAAATTAATACTTTCCATTTTGTTTTACTTTTTGTAATCACAGTTCAATGCCATAATTTTAAAGTATGAAGATTGAAAAAGTAATTTTGATTATAAACAAAATTAAATTTGGCTCTGAATTTTGATTTTTTTAATATTTTTTACACAGCATTTATTACAATTAAAAGGTTCATCTGCCAATAAGTTTAATATAGTTTAGTTAATTGTGTGATTGTTGGTACTTATTAGATTAAGACAATAGGAATATGTGGCCAAATGCACGGTGTAATGCTTTGGAACAACGAGGGCGAAGGTGCCTGGGAAAGAATTGAAAGAGATGGGACATTGACACGCTATGACGTAGTTCAAGACAAAGTATCAGCACTATACACTTGGCAAGATAATAGGTGTGACTCGGATTTTTTGAGTTCTCTTCCCAAATCAAATTCACACTTTCCTCTGTGTTCCGGTTATGGTACTGCAACGTTATTCTGGATGGCAAAGCATAAGTAAGAAAAAAAAATTAATAACTATTTTTAACACAAAAAAATGTTCTTTATTTAATATAATATAAATTGTTATAATTTTAAGACTAGATACTACAGTATACCCTTTGAGAGTAAAGTTATTGTAGTCTCCCTGAAATAACTATTATTTTATACGATCATTTTGATAATTTTTGTAGTAAGATAAATAATTGATGAAAAAACTAAGGCTTTCACTGCCAGCGTTATCTGAAGAGGGCTCGACATTCACCGATGAAGTCGTATATTTCTTTCGCTGCGATTATGTTAAAACGGCCTGAGTATGAGGCTGAGAATTTTATACCCTCGCTACGTTGTTTTAGGGTGCCAGAGTATATAGTTAGCGAAACGTCGCAGTTAAATGATTTAAATGAGTTTATAGTATTAATTTTTTTTTTTTCATTTACCTGAATCGTATAATGAGCCCAAAATTAATTAATTTGTATGTGGGATATCATCATTAATATATACATATATTGTCTGAAATGTGCCTCAGAAACATGTTTCTTTCCTCCTTCATTTCTAAAGTTGCCAAAATTTAAATTATGAGAATGACACTCATTTTCTAGAGGATTACATAAAATTTACAAGAAAACTACAGCATTTTAATGAATTAATTAATTAATTGTTATTAATTATACGTCACGTACTTAATTAATGCTGATGCTACTTTTTAAAATTACCTACAGTAATATTGCTCGTTTTAATAGCAAAAAACTTAAAAGGATTCGAAAATATTAAAAATTCACAATTGGAATTTCATTTATTCTAGTAGTAATACTTACTTGTGTCTTAATTTTAATTATTTTTTATTTTGTAGGCCAGAAAAGCTGAAGAAGTACAACTGTTCAGGAACTGTACAGGATTTTGCAGTGGCTATGCTTTGCGGTTTGAAAACACCGATAATGTCTGTGCAAAATGCTGCAAGTTGGGGATATTTCGATTGTAAAAGAAACGACTGGGATAAAGAAGTTTTGCAAAAAGCTAATTTTCCTGTGTACCTTCTACCACGTATTAAGAAAAGTGGTGATATTGCTGGATATTTAGAAGACAACTGGCATTCTATCCCAAAGGGAACGCCTATTGGTAAGAGCCATAAGTGTATTAGTTTTCAGAATTTTGTGTATTAATTAGGTACATACAATTTTTTTGTTCTAAGGAAAGTATTGATGTAATAATTTTGTTGATTAATGAAAAACTAAATTTGGTAAATAGAGTTTTACAATTTAAATTTTAAATTTGAATTAGAAGACTTACAAAGAATGCTTTATTTTAAATAATGATTATTTACCTGTAGAAGTCAACTGAAAACTTAAATTACACTTTTGTGAACAATTTAAAAACCGACCCAAAAAAGCATTTTAATTGATTGATTAGGATCTTAGATAATGATCTTTGCCATTGAAAAAAAAAAACAACTGCTTATAAAAAAATAGAAAACTTACGATTGACCTTCAGTTTAATTTGTGGTTCTTTAGTAGCATATGTATGCATATAGTTTAAAAAATTAAGAATATACCACCATATGTTAATGTTACTAGAACAATTTATATATTTTTGATTGAAAGAGATATTTACTTCCTTTCTAAAAAACGAATTTATATATATTAATAATAAACACTAAAATTTATGTAGTGAAACAATTACAAAGTTTTTTACTAAAATAGATCGGGTGCGAAACGTGAGCGGTGGACGTGACGAAAAGAAAAAAGTTATTAGAAGCATATGTAAGGTGGTGTTATAGCAGGATGATAAAAATACCGTGGATAGATAGTTAAAAATAAAGTGTTCGAAAATACAGAATAGAGTTTTTATAGAACTCAACAAGTAAGCATATCCTCTGAGACATGAAGGGCTAGTTAGGAAATAGTAGAAGCAGAAACAAGGGTAAATATTAAATTGCTGTTAAGAAGTGGATAGGGATGTGGGATGTTGTAGATTTCAAAGATTAACTCAGAATATGAAGAGCACGTATCCAACCATTCTTTCAAACGACGAGTTCAGGATGGTGGACTTAATAAAAAATTAGCAGATATAATTAATATTTACGATATAAAACCGAAAACTACACAGTAAAAGGAGAACTGAAATTAATTACGTTCAGATTTACTTTTATAATATATATACA